CCCCAAAACCCCAAAACCCCAAAACCCCAAAACCCCAGAACCTAATTAAGGATTGAGCGCAAACATTTTTAATCTTATTAGAAATGGCCAAGGTCAAGAAAACCACTCAAGTTTCATTATTTTCTTGATTTACGTCTAAAAAGAAATCCTCGATTCCAAGACCAGTGCCAGTCATGTGCAGAGAGAAGATCGATAAGGTGAACAGAACTCTGTCCAGATCTATATCTGGCTGTGGAAAGCGTAAAAGTTCCAGAAATTTGAGCAAATCACGGGATTCAGACATCTCCTTGGAAAACCAGGTGAGCAGTGTTGTTACTAGAAGCAAATCTCGTGGAGCCTTCAAAAAGAGGGAGAAAAAGGCTCAAAGCAAATCTAAAGCAAGAAAAAGTGTCAGATTTTTGGAGAACAAAACTATTTATGACTACACTCTCTCCTGTAAAGACACAGAAGTTCCTTCTGAGTGTACTAATGCTGATATATTCGGTCTGAGAAAGAATATGCTAACAAAAGATATTCAGATAGAAAGGACTTCTAATGATAATTTCCCTCAAAAACAACCAAAAAGAAAGAAAAATACTAAAAAGGAGCCAGTAGAAGAGGAAAAAAAGAGGAAGACCTCAAAAGTTTGTAAGACAAAGAGGAAGGCTTTAGAGTTCAAGAAGCTAGTTCTTAAGTCTAATGAATCAACCTTAGCCTTAAATCTATCCCTCCTAGATGGTAAGAGACAACTTAAAGGCGGGATTACAAAGAAAAAGACATTCAGAGTATTTAGAGAGGGACATGTATTTAGCAAGTCCTTTGAAATCAGTGAAGAAGACAATAGCGATAGTGAAGATGACTGAGACTCAACAGATGAAGTAGTCAAAAGAGCTAAGGGCCTATCATTTCGTAGGCTAAGAACTGCATTCGACAGTTTTAACTCCAATATATAGAAAAAACTCTCTTCAATAGACATGAAATTTCGAGGGGTTTTGGGGTTTTGGGGTTTTGGGGTTTTGGGGTTTTGGGGTTTTGGGGTTTTGGGG